TTAAGATCATCGGCATACATGAAGGATATACCTTTCTGAAATAAATCGGGTACATCATTAACAAAAAGGCAAAATAAAAGCGGACCGAGTACACTACCCTGAATGACTCCACTCCTCACACGTGCGGGGTTGGAGATAGCATTGGAAATCTTAACTCATTATGTACGAGTGCACAGATAAGAGGATATAAAATTTAAAAGTTTGCCACCTATTCCGAAAGAGGACAGTTTCAAGAGAGGAAGAGCATGGTCAATAGGACCAAAAACGCCGTGTAAAGTGTAGAACCGTTGTCCCTAGATTGGAGAACATGAACGAAGAAAGAGAGCTGATAGGTGTCGCAGGACTGAGCTTTTAGGAATCTATGCTGTGCAGCACTCAGTAGGCTATTGACTGTTAAGTGAGACACCATCTTATCTTTGATCAATATCTCTTTGATTTTCGAAACTGCGGGGGGGGGCGTTATTGGCCGACAGTCATGAAATGACGTAGATTGGCTATGCTTGAAAATAGGCGAGATGTGTGATTCCTTCCACAAGGTGGGATAGGTTTCACTTTCAGGAACGAGATTAAATATCCTGCATAAGACGGATAGGAAAATTACTTTTGCATCCGCTTTTAGGATGCTTGCTGGGACACCATCAGGTCCTGGACTAAAAGATTGACGAAAACGCTGAATCGCAACAGTCAAATCACACAAAGTGAAAGCTGTAGGTTTGAGAAATGCCCCGATCAATGTCTGGATGGTCGGAAGCGGAGTGGTCGAGTATTCAATAAAAGTTTTGGACGGGAAATCATTGAAGCCATCAGCGGTTAACTGGGCATCAACTATGGGATCTCCGAGAGCGCCTCGGAGGGTGGGATGCTGCGTTTTTCAGTACAGACATTTACACCCGAGCTTAGGAAGAAATCAGTTCAATCGTAGGAATTAAGGTGCGTTAATAATCCGTCGGAGCGTGCTGATCGGAAATCGCGGAAAAAGCTATACTTTAGAGACAAGGTTCTGTCAGCCTCGAGTCCTGATGTAGAAGCAACTATGTAATGGCCTGGGCTCCCGATTGGGTCTGGTGGTGACATTCATAAAGGCATGCAGCCTGTACAAAGTTTAGGTCAAGTATGCTTGACCCTCGATTGGGAAAATCAACAACCTGACTCCACATTTCAACATCCACAAGCTCGAGAAGGTCTTCGAACCTTCTGGGGCCTGAAGGCGGAGACCAGCGGACTTCAGGGAGATTAAAGTCACCCGCAACCAACTGATACCTAAAGCTTAAGTCGGTCGCAGTATGAAATGCCAGTGAGAGCACATGGGCAAAATTCTCATTGGCGTTGGGAGCGCGATAGGCACAGCCAACAAGTAAGGAGAATTTATTTTTAGTGCGACTTGGAGCCATCAACTGCCTTTTACCGCGGAAAAATGCGGGAGGTTCAGCTGCCGAAATGTAAGTTTCAGCTGCCCCATCACGGCTGTCTTGACGATCAGTTCGAATGTAGGTATAGCCTAGAAGCGACAGTTCGGAATCAGTTGCGGAAGGTGATGTCTTTGTCTCAGTTTCGAAGACAATGGACGAACACCAGAGTCTGAAGTAAAGGCATCTTATTAAGCAAGGATCTGGAATTTAAAACAAAAAGTTTAAGGGTGAGGACTGTTTGTTTCTGAGAGAGGCGGGCTACGTCGTCCAGTGACTGGCTGCACACGGAACATACGGTCCGGATGCACCTATCCAGTTCTGCAAAACATCTTATGGCATCAAAGGAGCATGAAGTGGATAAAAATGGGTAGGACTTATGGGTGGAACTGACGGGCAGGTAAACAGGTAGCCATTGTTAGCTAAATTATTTTCAGCTGGAAATCCGCAGGGCGGATACTACAACACATTCTCGCCGGAACAAAACTGAGGATCGGATGAGTTAACTGGTCCAGTACGGACATTAAAATGAGGTGTGCATTGGTATAACGGTCGTAGTTGAAAAAAGTTAGGGGATGGGGGACGAGTTGTTTCCATTGGAGCAAGAGTTCTACTAAACGGCGGGAAAATCGGCATATTCGTCCAAACTGCCTCGATATGACGGCTGGGGGCAGTTGGAAACACGCTACTTTTGAGGTCGGGATGTTTCATGCACTGCTAGCCGATTGTGGAGGTAAAAATTTTATAATGTATTTAAATGGAAATTACGCAAATCATTACACCGGAAAGTATAAAGGTACATTTGACCGTCTCATTCCCGAACACGCAACTTTCTGACTTCAATATTGTCCCCACTTATATGCAGAATTTCATTACCGGCAAAGACAAAGGAGACTGGAGTGGTTATTTCTGGCTTATTACCCGTCGTCAGCCAGCCATTCCCAGCCCCGAAACGTGGAACACCCGAGGCTGGAACTCGGAACCTGTTAGTTATAATTCCACGCCTCTAACCACTGGGCCACGAGCCCCTTGTCCTGTCGGTTTTCGGTCGGGAATACACAATGGTAGGGGGCGCTCACCGATCGATAACCGACAGGACGAGGGGCTCGTGGCCCAGTCGTTAGAGGCATGGACTTATGACTAACAGGTTGCGAGTTCGAGCCTCGGGTGTTCCACACGTTGGGGTTGGATATGACTGGCCGACGACGGCTAATAAACCAGAAATTGCCATTCCAGTCACCCTTGTCTTTGCCGCTTATTATATCATGCGCCGCTGTGCGGCTGCTGGTTGTACTTGAGAGAGCGCCCATAAGGCACAATGAAACGAGTGAGTTCCGTAAGAACGATCTGTGAGCGCCCCCTACAACCCCATTTATACCTTTACAACCCCCTGTTTTGAATTGGTTACTGAGTCCACTGCTCTCACTCCTCCTCCTCCATAGCGACGATTTTCGCTGTTCTTGACGTCATCTCCTTATTTCGACTTCAAGTGGTCTGTCGAAGTCCAGGGCTGAGCCCTCTGTATTCGCCGTCTACTAGTAGTTTGGTCGTACCTCTCTACTCCACCCCTAGGCTAGGCTCGAAACGAACTGTGACCGATCGCGTCTGGGTTCCTCTTGTCTCGCCCGTTTAGCGCGAGTAGTCTCATCCGGTGTATCAATTCTGCCCAGACGATGTCCGTTTTTAATCCCTTATACAATACCACATGCAGGCCAGTCCTGTCCGACCCGCATACTTACCCCTCAAGGCTGGAATTTATTCATGCCCTGACTATGTCCGTCTACTATCCGTTATACACTGCCACATGCAGGCCAATCGTGCCTGAATTTTTGTCCTTTCATGAGCGACAACTTCTTTACCTGTAAAGTTAATCCAATCGTATTGTATTCTTGAGGGGAGTTTTTTTTCGCTGCTCGCTCATCATTTTTCTTAACGAACTACAAATTCAGTAACTATGAATTGCACTTTGTACAGATTCTGCCTACCTCGTCTAAAAGTCATATGAAAATTTATTTCTCCTTGCTCTGATGGGACCCCGGTGGGTCTTTAATAAACATTATTTATTTATAAAGGCGCAGCCATCGCATAGAAGCATGTAGGTTATTTGGCGACCTTAAATCTATTAGCAAATTATTCGCAAAAATTGTATATCTTAAAGCGAAAGTAAGAGAGCGTTCGGAGGTGGAGTAGGCGAGAGGAGGTATTACCAAGGACAGTTCAACCGTCGTTTCCAACGATGGCCTCTGTGTGCTACACAGCAAGGTGGAACAGGGACGGGGATTTGTGCACCATCAAGACAGAGTCAGGAAGACCAGAGGCGCGGGAGGGTACTAGTGGATGGCACGGGCGAGTCCAAACCTTGGTGCTCCACTCCACACCCCTGGTCCACACAGCGAATGACGAGGATTTTAACTAGCAACAAAAATGAGAGTGACAGGGGTCCCAAAATTTGTGACCTCTGCCAGCAAATTGGTCTGCCAACGCACCCTGAAATTTCGGTATTTGTATGATGCGCATTCCGGCAACGCCTGGCAGAATCCGATATGACCCCAGCGTTGGTCATGCGCAACTAACATGCAGCCCGTTAGGGAAGCACAACAATCAAGGAAAAATTGCGAAACTAACAGATCCAGATTATTGCTGCAGTTTGCATCCAAGTCCTTGATGGTGGGACATTCAGCCACGGCTGCACCTTAAAACTACTGCCTGGGATTACCCGTTCAGGTCCAAAATACATGTAACAACATTTGGATGGAGAAAATTTTCATAACCCATTTCATTCCAAGAACTGAGCACAACCTCTCTTTGATAATTTACCCAAGATATGGTCTCGTTTCTGACTGAAAACGAATTCCGACGGAATCTATTATTGCTCTGTGTCCAATCATGAGGTAACTTATCCGGTAATATTCGTAACATTTCGCAAACTTTCGCGGGATAAGCAATCCAGCAAAAGTTGACTCTCTTGAACAATAGTCATTTCATCGTACGAATTCCAGGAAAAAACCAAATCATGAATGTTCCTGAGATCACACATGCAAAACAATTCATGGTGTACTACATATACAGAAGTTATGTGGGCAGAGTACGGACAGGAACGGCGTAAATCTGAGTTGAGAATTTTACAGACTTCTCAAAACTCCACGTAGACGCCGGTTTGGGGAAATTTACGTTTTTTTAATCATTTGTGGGTATTAATGCTTTAGCCTTTTTAATCGCTGCGGTTCATACCCCCAAAAGCTGGCCTCTCACCAGCTCTCTCACCTTCTCAAAGTTCCTGCTATATAATTTTCCGCCTAGGTTTGCGTTGACACCCTTCATATAATCGCTGCAAACAAACAAGACAGTGTGGTAGCGATCGATTCCCTGGAATTCTTGTGATTGTGCCGCTGATAATTAGCTGGTCACGAGGAATTGACCGAAGTTTGGTTGAATCGCTATTTGTCGTGCTAATTTTGAATTCGTCTGTTTCACATCAGTCTTGTTAGCCCATATAATTCAAGGATGCCTCTACTCCGTTTGGTTTCTTCAGGATGTAGGCGAGTCACGTTAACCCCAGTCAGATATGCGTTCTCGAAGACACCTCCAGCCAAAATGACTTACGATCTGCGGAGGGAACTCCTTGACGATGCCGACCCACATTTCAGAACGCGCATTCACGACTCTACAATCGAGGTATTTTTTAGTAGATCAGCCATCCGATGTTAAATAACTCTGTGTTAATGGACTTCATTTACTTTATTCCTAGTCTTTGCATGAGCACCTTCGTATGGTGACGAAAGTTTTGGGTAATCCACCCCAATTGCAATTGATCGCTTTTCGTATTTGGCCTTTTACTTGATTGATTACTAAGCCTTAGATGATAGCCCCCGTTCATCACCGAATTCTTCTGCGCATTTTGTGGTTCCATGCACAACTAAACAATTCGTTATTACCTCCTCCATGCTCGACTAGTTTAATTGTCTCTTGGGCCCTGATAGAATCAGATATGCAATGCTTACGGGAAACACAAAATGGCCATATATATGTCCGTTTGCATCCCGTTTGATTTTCCTTAAAATACGCTCCTGTTGGTGACAAGGGCCAAAACCACCTGGTGTGCCCTCTTGCCTGCAAATTCTCCCATGATATGGTCTTCTCAGAATCATCTTACCGAGAAATTTTCGTCGTTTTTAGCACACGACCACATTGACCATAGATTCGTTTTCACACATGTAAACACAAATACGCACAGTCACACCCGTTTGCGTGTGCACAAAAGAAGCATGACACCCGAAAAGGCACATCCTCAATCTTCAGCTGCACTGCCCGGGAAATTCATGTTATCACAAATATAGGTAAATAGCCCGTTCAATGAAATACACACTAAAGAACAACCTTTCCAGGCTTAATTTTCTCACGGTTCCCGTTTTTTGTCACTCGACAGAATTTGCAAGTCTGACGAACGCTCACCAGTACTATGCCATCCCTCCCAGGGGACTTTCATGAAGGCATACCTGTCTTTACTTGTGATTTTTATCGTTGCCGATTTTGCCGGCTCTACGCTGCGAGTTCCCCACATAATTACCGGTCATCTTACACTGAAGTCAGTTAAAACAGACTTCTAAACAATACAGAACTACCTGGCACTTTGGCCACCCAAGTTGAAAACCCCGGGTCAGCTTTTTCGAAGTCCAGCCCGATATTCAACGCGCTAGTCGAACGTTCGCTGAATTTCGCCTCCAGGTCGGCACACTACCTAACCCAGCCCTCATGTTTGCTGCGTAGGAAGACTAGTCTACGGGTTGTATCCTTGGTCGACAATATAGCACTTAGATGTTCTTGCATCGGTTCCCCCAACATATGGCTCAACCGGCCCCAGAGTCCACGGTCTTGCGGCCTCTACCCTATAGTTCTCGCCCAAAGTCTTCCGAAATCATTATCTATTTAGCTTTCTACTTCCGAAAACCAGGGAATTCCGGACTCGAAGTCCCCTTCAGTTCTATTTAAACAACATTCATTGTTTTTTCCCTTTTTCCACTACTATAGTTGTCCCAATCAAAGAGGTTCTGGGTGATAGCACCATGGAAGAATTGCCCTCGAGTTAGGTAATCGCCTCACCATTCGATCTGGATGGTGAACTGTGGCTAGCTCGACAGCAGGCGTCCCGAACTAACGCTCTGGTTCCTGGCTGGGGTCAAATCCCATCAGCCAAGGTCGCAGCATTCTCTGGAGGTTCCCGTTATGCGATCATTTGATCTGCACGTTTGTGGTTCGGGGGTGCCACGTTTTGAACCCATGGGGGCGACTTTGACCAGTCTTTTTGAACTTGAGCTTGGCTGCGTCCACTTCTATGGAGGGAAGAAATTCCGGTGTGCATGGTATTTTCGCCATTCGACTTCCTCCTGCCAATGTCTCGTCGTTGACACGAATGAAGTATGGTAGACAAAATAGTCGACCGGTTCCAGCCTTTTGCCGTAAGTTAAGGGAGGTCTTTCTTGTTGCACTACTGTGGTAGAATTACCAGGAGATGGCCATCTGGTCACGAGATTACAACCTCTCGAAGGAGTTTCCCGAAATGACCTTTCTGTCCATTTACCGCCCGAGGGGAAGTTGGTCGTATTTAGACAAATTTATAGTCTTGGGAAGAAACATATCCACGACGTTTTTGAAGAGGACTGGCAAGACGCCGTAGCTCTCTTGGACTAGCCTTTACAGACAAGTACAGATTATTTTCGCCATATGCTCGAGAGGACTTACGATGTTTTAATCAGGTTCGGGAGTTCTGGGACACACCATCAGCCTCAGTAGCCTCCCAGGGAGCGCTTCTATCGACTGGATCAGACGCGACAATGAAATCCAGCGTAAAAATATCTTTTGTTAAAAAGCAAGTTTTTACAGGGTCCATAACAGGGCGAAAGTTTAACAAACTCACACCTTACGACAAAAACCTTTCTGGAAATTCTTGCTCATGTATCCCTGGAGTTACAGAAATCGGTCAGGTGAGCAGTAGCAAGTTTCTTTGGTGATGTCGACTTGAGTAGTGCCTATGATAGCGTCGTTCCAATTTTGCTATCCTTTTAAAGAAGCGGGACAGAACGTCATTGTTCAATTCCTGGCGCGACAACTCGGGTTCGCATATATTCGCTTGTTACTCAAATCTTTTTGATTTCGATCGGTTTTTCTTCAGTGGACACCTGCTTAAATTTTGGCGGTTGAGGATACCGCACCGTCATAAGTCACTTTTCTAAGCAGCTGAAGTAGAGGTCTCTGCGCATCTGAGAATGACGAGTTAAACAACTGGGTTTACCGCCCTTTCCAACCCGGTAGTTAGTCACTCAGTAAGGCAAAATGAGAAACGTGTTTCCGTCGTATCCACCCGGCTGATTTTCGAACTGTCCTTCAACAAATTCTGTCTCCCCTTCTGATCGTATTATCTGACACCTTACTTTGAGATCTCCGAGGTTTCGGGCGTTGAACGCATTATTCCCCAAGTTAATGGTTTTCGCTTTTCATCAAAGCACTTCAGCATGCTTGCTCGACATTTAACCCTGGGGTTGTTGTCAGGCAGGGATCGATGTCCAGCCACATTTAACGGCACTACTGCTACCCGATCCCTGACTGCTTAGTCGCGAGGCTCGAATACCAGGCCTTTACTGAGGGCCTTATCCCTGTTCGCTGTCTGTGAACGCACCGTCCAACCTAGGTTGGTCCTGTATTTGCTGGATCCCTTCTCCCAGACCTATTGGCGTGCTAACCCTTAGTCCTGGATCTTGCTGTTTCGTCACCACTGGGAGCCGTTATATTCTAGGATACCCAGAGTTAGTCATCCACTGACTCTTGCCACTCCATGATATTTCTTTTAATCTGCTTGGGGTTTTTGCTAGCTCGTTCGCTTTCTGCCCTTCTCGGATAACCGTCTATATTTCAACTTAATTTCTTATAAATAGCATCGATACGCACGACAGCGACAAAATACCAACAGTACCGTCTGATTTCTGTTTATTAATGCTTTTTTGTTGAGATTATTGACAGTTAACTCCATGGTAGGTTGTACAGTTGTGACCTTCTTTCCGCATGTCAACTACTGAAACTGAAGTTAGTCGGAGCTACCTCAGAACATTGTGATCTGACATCATAGATGAGCGAGTTGGCTCATTATAAGTCTTCCTTATCAGGTAAATGCGGTTGCCATTGAGACAAGCAGTTTTTTTTACGAATTTTCACAGAATACCACTCCTGTAAATTGAAGTGATTTTGCCCACAAAACCTGCCTTTCCTCCTGTATACCTTGATTGATTTCATCTTTAACGAACTGAATCTGCGAAGTGGCCCATCGCATCCTGAGTGCCTTCACCCTCTTTGCTTTCCTTGCCTAGGCCAAAGAGATCCTCAAGAAGTCTCCTGACTTCTCGCCATCGGATCGTGTGACCGTACCCAAGCAGACCGACATCACACCCATTAGCGGGATTCCCGATGAGCAGATCCAGTCGCGCGTGGCTCGTATCTACATGCCCACACGCCCGGCCACTCAGTCGGGCACTTTCGGTACACGTATGTGGCGTATAGATTTCGACAACCAGGAACGCTGGGAGAACCCCCTCATGGGATGGGCCAGCACCGGTGACCCACTTTCCAATGTCTCCATGAAGTTCCCCACGGCGGAGGCAGCTGTTGAGTACTGCAATTCGCAGGGCTGGAAGTTCTTCGTCGAAGAGCCCAAAAAGACTCACATTGTGCCAAAGAGTTATGCCAACAATTTCTCATGGGACAAACGTACCCGTAGAGCCACAAAATAACCAGTCCCTACCCACGCCAGCCTTCTAGCTTACCCTGCTTACTCCTCATCATCTCGCTTTGGAAGTCGTAGGATTTACAGCTTACTTTCGCTATCAACCTGTTTAACTTTTGTTCTGTAAATAAAGTATTTTACAGGACAGGTCTAAGCTTCTGCCTTAGTCTGCGGAGACTGGCCATTGTGGTTAACTAGAAATGTCCGTTTGTTGTTAGGCCTTGAAAGATGCTGAATTCAGTTACACTCACACGGAGCCGTCGTCCTGGTGCGGGTTCGCGCATGGCACGACTGCTGAATGAGGAAGAGGAGGATGAGTTCTACACCAGCACCTACGGCGGTTTCACCGAGGTTCGTCATCTTGTTTAGGTATTTTGATACCGTCAAACCTTTTTACTGATTTCGTGAGAAGTAGTATATTTATGCCCTAATGTATTCTGTGCCCCGTCATTCCCAGGAAGCCGATGACGTAGACTACGAGTCTGAGAGCTCTGTCCAGGATTCAGTCGATTCTGACTTTGTTGAAACAGAGGACGACGGAGAGGATAACTCTGCCGCTGGATCGGACGATGAGGGAGAAAAGCACCGACGCACTAGACGCGTAGTTACAAAAAGTTATAAGGTGAGCACACCCTCTAGGTGTTGCTCTATTTCCACGTATCAGGTAGTTTGACTTTTGTTTTTGCCCCAGGATGCGTCATACTAGGTGAAAACTATGGTCCACTTATGTATATCAGTGTTCTTATGCTACTTTCTGGAAGGATTATGCCATCTGAAAAGTCATGCAGTCTGGAAACACCTATTGGCAGACTTTGTGATTGCCGATATCCCGTAATTTTCTGCTTAGTCTTCTCTGGAAGCAGAAACGAGCATCTTCGCTAAGGTTTTTACCTCCGTAGACATTGTTGCGCTCGTAGCAATGTTCCACTTTGTTTAAGACCTCGGACCCTCAACCTCACGCCTCCGTTTGAATTGACCTCGCCAATGAACATCGGGTCACCCCGACGCCGCTGATTTAGATTAGACGTGCCTGGACTAATCCTCTTGTAAACCCCTACTCGAATAACTGTTCCTTTGTCCTATTGGCGCAATCATCTGCGTAGGGTCTGTATTTGCTGCCTGAAAAGAATGCAACGTGATTCAGATCTGCCTCTGTGTTTTTCGAGAAAACACATACTATGACGCTCGAGTAAAAACGGGCATTCGCGAATTACTGTAACTTTTCGATGTCAAAATGTAGTGTACTTTTAAACACCAGTATTAGAGAAGACGAATTCAAGTTTCCTGTGCATTACACCTGGGAAACGGTATGTGGTGTATGCGAACACTGAAACTTCACAGAGAGACCTAGCATAACTTGAGTGCGGGTTTTCTCCGACAAAGACGGGTGGGAAGACTCGCCGGAAAGTATTCAATTTTACACGAATGAGTTTGGACTCATGTCACATGCTGCTGTCGATTATATCCTCCCCCGAGTAGTGTTTTCCACTTGAAAGTAATGCCTGGTGGCTTTCGATGTCCACTTCGTGATCTATAATATGCCTAGGAGAACTCTCTCTCTCTCTCGAAAGGTTTCACTTTAAAATCCCCTTTGCAGAGACTGAAACACTCACCCTTCAATAGTAACGAAGGGTCGATTGTCAGGTATCAAACAACGGACGACTTGCCTGTCTGTCACAAAAATCTCCAAATTATAGCTTACTCCACGAGCGCTGGAAATGCGAAAAATAGTCCTAGGGACGCACCCAGACCACACGCCTTATCATACGATACAGGTGTGCACGCAGTCTGTCAGTCCGGCCTCATTTCCTGCTTGCAATACCTGACTCCAACGATCACGTTCCGACAAGTTATCACGGACCTCCTCTGTCTTGACAACGCAATTGTGTCTTCTTAAAAGTGCCTACTGGCTCACTTCGCCATCACCCCTCCAAAAACAAACGTCCCTGCTGTGCCAGACCGAAGCGGGGTAAATCGGCCGTGACACCCATGAGACGGAGGCTTCACGCCACGTCGGTCTGACTCAAAACTGCCAGTGGCTGATGCGTAATCACTAGCTTACTTCTCAACTCTGCGTGTTGGGTACTCTCTCTCTCTCTCTCTCCCCAGTGCCCTTTGATACCGACTCTGGCGTTTACTCTGCGATTACTTAAACTGCTTTAAAGGAACCAAAGGCTCGTAAAAAGGAGGCGACCACAGAGAAGGCAAAGACGGAATCTGCTGCCGCATCCGCCGGACGAGCCCAAGCATCCAAGACAAAGTCGGTGTCGCCGGAAAAACCTGAGGAACCAGCCGGCGGTTAGTTGTTTTCCTCTTTGCATCATTTGCGTTTGACCGAGTGACTGTTGAGTATATGCGTTAAAACTCGTAATTCAGTGGCCGAGCATGCACTTCGTCCAAATCTCGCAGAGGGCCTTGAATAAACTTGACAAGAGCTCATCAGGACGGGCTGGACTACATCCTGCCCGATCGTTGTAATAAAGGGAAAAATAAGTATTCCGATTGGAAGTAAGACTTATAATTTTGCGGACTTTAGAGGGCTGTGCTGCATCCTTTTTCGCACTGGTCTTTATCTCCGTAGGTTTTGACACTGATACCTTTCCTATAGACTGGAGGCGATGTGAATCCAATGACTGATTGAGGTCGTAGGTCTTCTGTCAGATGCTTCCAGTATGAACTTTAGGGCCGACACAATTTCCTGCAGACTGAGTATTAAAGTCTTCTTATGCACCGAATGTCAGTGGCCCTTCTCCCCCGAGTTCGATTTCCTCAGGTGGATGCAAAGCTGCACAACTAAAGCCGACATTTTGCCGAGAGGACCTGGCTCTGGATTAATATTCTGACCCATCTTGGTTGTTATTTCCTATTCGACAGCATATTTGCATATTTCGGTCACTGTTTTGACAGTTTGACTGACGCGGCATCTAAGTAATAAGTATACTGACTATGCCGAAGGCGGTAGGTGAAATCCCTGAACACCATCGGTCCTTCGTTTAAATACCCAGAAGGAACCGACTGGCCCTCCTGAAGGCTCAGGAGCCTGTCTACTGGTAGTTCGCTGATCAGATTACGGAGCGTGCTCATCCCGTTGCGCTCGCAGGCAGTCGCATAGCGACCAGTGAGAATGCGGGAAGGAGTATCGACTGGGACGGCCATTTCTGACTTGTCGGCTGTCGTAGGCCAGTCACACCTAACTCGAACTCCTTGGTCATTGAGGGTTCCCAGGTCCGACGCTCGACCAGTAAGCTGCGAGCCAATTGTCCCATCCGGTTCTTATCGGGAATAGTAACTATGGTGTAAGGACGTTCACCGGTCAGGTTACGGAATATGCTCATCCTGTCGCATCCATCTTAGCCACATTCACCCCCCCCCGCCCATGGGTCCCGTGAGTTAGGCGCACTCAATGTCCATTGCTTTTCTTGATTCTGCCCACCGCGTTGTAGAGGGTCGCCAACTGCGCGCCAGCACGACACGTTCGAGCGCGGAGACGACAGCAGCAGCAGCTCAGAGGTCCTCTGCCACCTCCGAGGTTGCCGCCATCCGTCGAAAGGCCCTGCTGGCGGAGATTGCCCAGCGCAAAAATGTGCCCGAAGTGCGCCGTCTGACGCAGGAGGAGTTGCTGGCCGAAGCCAAGATCACCGAAGAGATAAACAAACGGTCTTTGGGTAAGCGCAAACTTACTAGAAGTTCTCTGAGGGTGTGTGTGTGTGTCAGTACAGTGGATTCTGCTTGATGACTTGTAGCCCGCTACCAGCGCCTCGAAATTGAGCGTAAGAAGAATCGCGTTCACAAGACGGTTAATCAGCTGCCAATGATTCGCATTCATCACTTCGCCGTTCCGTCTGTGGCTGACCAACCCGAAGTGTACGGAGCAGCGGTCAACTCCGAGAGGTAAGCACACACAGATGTAGGTGTAATTTATTTTACATGGCATAGTCCACTATCAACGTTTATTTGTAGGGCTAATTGAACGAAACAGGCGGCTGTTAGTAGCTACGACTACCTCCCAGGGTGTGTCGTAGGGTGAAGGTTTGGTTAGTGCTGGCCTCCTACAACGGACCACCACGGCAGCCAGATCAGGGTACGTTATTTTGGGTGCGCACCCATGACAGATGTCACACACGGGTGTGGCAGCACGTCTAGGCACAGGCCCAAGCCGCGCTGGTCACTTGCGTCCAATCCCTGCATTAGATGGATGACTGGTGGCTCCGACAGTGGACTGGTGCGTGTGAGAGAGGAGAGAGAGGTCGACACTGGAGACTGCGTCCTCACAAACAATCTGACGCGCTTCTAACCCCTCTAGATACAGTGCGTGACCGATCTCATAGAATGTTAGCAAACATTCTGGAATGCATTTCCGATTAGGAAGTATTTCTTGAGTGGGGTTGTTATACTGATTATCATGCAGCATAACCTTATAACATTCCGGACTCGCTAAGATGTCGGCTTTTGAATGCACTTCTTTTTGACCTCCTGCAGAAACAACACTTGGTAAAAAAATGACTACTTATGTAGCATGCACTTTTCCCATTGATTTTCGATAGTCCTATAAATTAAAATATATTTTGCAGAAAACATGTACAAAAATATGCTTTCTTTTGCTCATTTGGTAGGAAATTACACTTTCTTCATATTTTATGCCCTAAGAAAGTGTATATTTAGGTTTTTGAAAAAGTTTCCCACTTCCCGAATAATTTTCAGCCTGGTCTACCACTGCATCAACGTTTAGCAATTTCAGTCTACAAGGTGCATGCTTTCCGCGTAATAAAAATCATGTATTCCTTTATACCTTGAAGAAGATACCACACGGAGTTCATGAAATTTTGCAATGGATCCGGACTGTGTTGTACATTTCATGAGGAGCATTAGTAAACGGACATGTGTTGTCTTGCATGCATGGACATCGCGCGGTCTTAAAAATCTCATAATTAGAGACTTTTTAAAACCAAAATATACATTTTCTTCGGGCATAAACTAAGAAGACAATGTGATTTCCTACCAAATGAGCGAAAGAAAGCGTATTTTGAGCATTTTTTCTGTAAAATATATTTGAATTTATAAGACTCTCGAAAATCAATGGGAAAATACATGCTACTTCTTCTCAGCACCCCCACTCAGTAAGATCTGAGCCGCTCCCCTTTTGTCTTTGCTTCAAATCCTGATCAGTGTGCGTTATGGACTGGGGAGTATGGTGGCACGCGTAAGTGCGGTTTTTTGCCATGTCAGCCAACTTCCACCTCCCCGCCTCCGGTCTTCTTAATTCCTTCATGACATCGAACTCAGGTGGATGGGGGAGGAGCGGGTGCGGCGCAAGTTTGCTATCAATATAAACTAATTTACGAGCAAGTCACCGTTCCTGCGCTCCCCATGCTTCGAGGCACACGGTGAACATCGTCGTTAGCGACGGTCGAGCTGCCATTTGGTCAGTACTCTGTTCGGCCGAACCCTGTTCTAGGAACTACTTCATATTAACAGTATCAGAGGCTCTCGAAACTTTGCTCAGGCAATATTTGCCTCTGCAGCTGCTGTATTGTTTTTTTCTTCCTTCTTGAAGACTGATAGAAGGAGGATTGGAGGGCAAGGCTTGGAAACGCGGCCACACTGGGAAATGGGAAAACCCAGGCGCCTCCTATACAGGAACCGTGGTAATAGGGGTTGTATAGGTGGAGCTACGGGAAAACACCGAAAGATGTGTGAAAGCTTAGAGGAAAGGGGTGTGTTCGAGGTGAATATGCTAGTTTTTGTTAATGGATATCAAAATCTCGGTACAAGCAGCGCGCTATACGCCATGAGTAACTAATAAAACCAACTCCAGTAGGAGTAATGGTGATTGACTTGTCAAGCTTATTGAAACTGAACCACCCAAGTAGGTGGCCAGTCAGACGGAAGACGTAAATGGACGTTGTGGGAAGGGAGTGCGAAATTGGCAGTAAGCCATATCTCCAAAAACTGAGACAGAGGACCGGGTTGAGAACCTCCTAAACCGTGGACCGAACACCATGCCTAGCTCCTAACGGTAAGATGGAAATGAGGAAGCTGTCGCTGGTCGTAACCGTAAGGAATCAAATGGACCCCAAACCAAACACCGAGAATTAACTCTAACCCAAACTATTACCCTACATCCAACCCTAACCCCAACCCTAGGTGTGCTAACTTTAGCACACCTACTGAAATAAATACTAGTAGCATTTTTGTATGTGGCTGCATTCAAGTCACACGAGAATAGCCCTCGCTGATCTCGCCGGATTTTGGGTGTAAATGGTTATTTGTAGCCCCATATCCCCACTCCACTGTCCCTGATGTTAGTAGCCGTTCTTGGTGACTACAGGCCAGCAATTGTCTATTCGTCGGGTTCTGGGGCCTACCCATTTTTTTTAGCCAGCTTTCGTTGAAGACTATTCCGTCACCCATCGTCAGCAGATGCGCCATGTAGTCATCAAGTCGATTGACTGGCAGGCCACATCTTTGCGCAACCGGATCTGCCAAGAGCACTGACTGAACTATGATTGACATCGACCTCGCTTTGCTTTGGGCATATTTTGGGCTGATTATGATTAAGAATTCAGTATTTATTTGCGCCACTACCACTCGAAACTTCGGGTAGTGTTACGAAGAAAGACTAGACGTATTGGAATGGCTGTTTGCGGCTTTTTAGATTCCACCAACCGATTATATACAACGTTGAGTGTTAGCCAACCGGGGAGAGGGGGTTGAACCTGCGACTGGTGAGCCGCTGAGCTACCAGGCTCGCCTCATGAGTCTAAGGTTCAAGAGAATGCGATTTTTCCTGCCTACATGACGCAACTAAGCATTTGCGTTTTGCTCATGGAGTACCACCACCTTCATTCGTAGATGCGAGGTTTTACCAGCCAGAAGTCACCACCCAACGGCCTCAGTTGGCTTTGACTGACTGACTGTCATTTTGCGACAGCCTGGATGGACGCTAGACTCCTAGTTCCAGGGCAAAACGGAAATGCTCATTTCCACCCATCAGTCAGGGCGGGGATCGTTGGACGCCCTCTCTCTCTCTCTCCCTGGTGAATTATGTGACAATCTTTCTGCGCCACTCATATGCCCTATGAAGCAGGCGGGATGTGGCCCTGGGCCCAGTTGGTACAGTGTACAGCTCAATTACCGGTCGGACTCGAGTTCAAACCTGAGTTCGCACAGCCTCGTTGTCAGACCTAGGGATCCCAGCTGTTCAGGTAAGATACGCGAAGACATAGGGAAGATTGAGAAGTCATGATGTCTGGGTCGCAAAAGCCTCGAAGGGGATAAGGGAAGAAAGAAGTTAGTCGAATCATTGTTAAGTTAAAGACATCGTTTTCATTTCAATACAAAGAGGCTAAATGATTGCCTTATATCGTATGCCAAAGCGACCCTTGCAACGGGCCAAGTTGTAGACACGCTGAACCAAGACTGAGATCAGCTCGGCTCACGGTACGCCTTGATCTGCGCCACTCGTATGCCCTAGGAAACAGGCGGGGTGTGGCCCAGGGCTCAGATGGTACAGTGTACAGCTCATTTACCGGTCGGACTCGAGTTCAAACCGCAGTTGGCACCGTCTCATTGTCAGACCCAGGGATCCCAGCTGTGTTCAGGTAAGATATTTCATAATAACTGCTACTCGAAGACATAGGGAAGATTGAGAACAGAACAGGATCATTGTGGAGGTAGGGTGGGTTGGGGAGTCCGTTGTGTATTGCAGAAGTCATGAGGTCGGGGTCGCAAAAGTCCATCTCTGATGAGAGCACTTGGTGAGCCAAAACAAACGCGGCTGAAGGCGGACTCTTAGATTCAAGAAATCCGTAGTGTTGGAAATAACGCTAAATTACACATATCTTAGTTCTCGACGCTCATTCTCTAAGTCATGGAGAAACGTGTTCGAAGGGGATAAGGGAAGAAAGAAGTTAGTCGAATCATTGTTAAGTTAAAGACATCGTTTTCATTTCAATACTAAGAGGCTAGATGATTGCCTAATATCGTGTGCCAAATCGACCCTTGCAACGGCCACGCTGTAGACACGCTGAACCAAGACTGGGATCAGTTCGGCTCACGGTACGCCTTGATCATGCTGCACGGAATCTGTTCGAGCCCCTAAATACTGCCGTACGCGGAGGGTGTGGTATCACGCCTAGACCCAGGCCTTCATGCCGCGTTGACCACTAAACCAACACCAGTTGACTGACAAGCGTTTTATTTCGACCTTAGACCTCTTGCTGTTTGCTATAATTTGACCCCTGCTTTGGTGCGTAAAAAGTTGGCTTTATTTATTGATATATTTCGATTATAATTTTAACCAAAGAACCAAAACTCTGCTTTCTTCTAACAGCCTCATTTGTGGTCTGGTTTCTGCTGACAAGTCAGAGATTTAAGATATTTGCATTTTGACGACAAACGTTTCATGACTGAAGGACAGTTTTTTTCCGTTTGGATATTTAGAAAATGACTGCGACCATTAGCGACCGTTCCACAGCCATATAGGTTGCAAACCTAATAGCGGAGCCCTGCTTTGGGCCACGCTACGCCGCCTCCACATATGAGTATGTCACATCATTGGTGACATCGCTGGAGAATTGGGGTCCTCTCTGTAGCATTATCTCCTGCAACGCCGTCTCACACTATGTCTAGTTTGCATCAATTTTGGTCCTCAGTTGTCACTTTATCGCCCTCTGCATGTTGGCTCATCGGAGGCGGCTAACCACTTCCGCTTCCGCTGAACTCGGAGACAATTAGGTGTCATCCTTTCCGGCATTTCAAGATTTCTTTCTAACCTGTCCTCTCAGCCTCCTTCTCTGCCCCGACCAGTTCGCTCTGCACAGCGTGGAACCTAATTGTTTTACCCATCAGGGTGTACATATTTGAACTGAGGTGGTGGAAGGCAGGGATTGTAGAGAATCTATGTCATCTCTGCGTTCTCCTCTCTTCTGTCCTACAGCGGGGAAGTGGAACTCTGTCAGATGCTGGTGGATCGAGAGGCCAAGTGTTCTCGCACCCTAGTTACCTTCACGGATCCGGCCTCATTCGCGGCCGCCTTTCCCTCCGCCGCTGCGGCCTCCCGGCAACAGCAAATGACCTCGAAGCAGCCGGGTCGGCCGCGGAAACGGACGCGCTACTGTCCCCTCACTGGCCGACTGGCACGCTACGTCGACCCCCTGACACGCACTCCCTACGCCGATCTGGCTGCGTTCCGGGCTCTGCGCTACCTCTACCGGTTACACCTGGAGACGGGCACCCCAGCCATTGATCTGCTACGCCAGTATCGAATGGGCCAGCTACGCGTTCCCGAGGCTTGATTTTACCGCTGTCATACCCTAAACTCCCCTCTCTCCCCCCTCCCTGTAAATACATCCCACCGAAATGTGTGAATGAAAGTATTACTTATTTTCCTACTTCCGAGCTTGCGAAAGCATAGTAGAAAAGACACCGACACTGGAGGATCGTGTGGTGGGGCTCGGCAACGCGGTCCTGCTTAGTTAACAAGTTATAACTTTCGTACTATTATTGATTTCAGTAGGTAGTCAACATTTATCACTTTCGTACTATTATTGATTTCAGGTGCCCCGCGGACTGCTGCAATTACGATTCCAGGTTACTTTAGGGACGGGGTTTTACGGTTATGATTTGGGTTCTGGTTTTGGGGCTGGGGTTTAAGGTTAGCCTTAGGGTTAAGGAGTCATTCGGCACCCACTTCCTACAACTTTCGTTTACGGCTTACGTCCGGTTGTTCACGTTCTTGGACGGTTCAGTTTTGATTACCTTGGCGGGCCAGTCACCCTTATTCTTCGTGGAAATGGTTTTACTGGTTACCCGCAGTGAATGTTTGCATTATGCCCCGCTCACGTTGAGATTTCTGTGCTCACTAAAGCAAGCTAGCATGTCCACCTACAATGCCCGTGTTCTTCCTAGTTTTCGCACATTCTTCACTGCTTTACCGCAGTCCCGCCCGCAAAGCCCCTTTTTACCACTGTTCCCGTATTGGACGCGCCTGGGCTCCCCCATTTCCCAACGGGACGCGTTTTCAAGCTCTGCCGGGCTCAGGCACGTGTACGCACCCTGCCAATCAGATTCTTCAACCGACAGTAGGGAGCACTCAGGGACGTTGGTGTAGTTTTGTCGCAAAGTATTAAAAGGATCCGGAGTAAGGTCATCGGAACAGGACTTGTCAGGCTCGGCACCCGGCTATTATGTAAGCGCTCGCGTTAGACAATACCACCGTCACGGGAGTAGCCATCTAATCCTCGCGTCTGTCAGTCAGGCGACAGCCCACATCGTTTGTATTCCAGAAGGCTATTTCGCCACATTTTCACAACTCGGGTGTTAACTTCAAGCCCGGTCACCTGTTCCGTTGCTTCTCGGTGCCGTATGTCACGTGCATGTCTAGGTGCACTTTCTGAGCTGGCCATGCTCCCGGGCCATTGATCGTTCTGCAAACTTATTTAGGTCACAAAACGGAATCCAGTAGCCCTCTCGGTCATTTATAGTATTCCTCTGTTTGCTTAAACACTGAGTTCCGTCGGCCTGATCCGTTTGTGCACTCGGTTGTGACGCGGGAACAACAATGATTTCCTGTGTGAGCCTTGGTCTTGCTGTTATAACCACCGAGGCGGCTTAAGACAGGAAACATGAGGACTGGCCCCGCTGTCAGTACGCAATCTAGTTTTTTGGCAGATTGGCCCCCTTTGTGGCTGACTCGTAGTCGCCACTTACGGCAAACCGACTCCCACAGTAAGGTCGTCCTCCTTAGGGCTGTCTGACTGACTTGAGATTGTGGAATCTCGTGAGTACTAGGCTCCGTTTGATACTCGGCTCTATCTTAAGTAGATTTCGGATAGGTAGATGTGTCCTCGTATGTGCGCATCCATGGGGGTTAAGCAGTCAGTATCAGTTTATTTGAAATCCCTGTTTTGAGGAGCAAGAAGGACATTTCCAATCGAGTGCCTCACTGTAAACAGTTGGTCCTGAATGAGAAACTGGATTCCAAAACGTATTTTTACCTACTACCCTTAATCTTGCTGTCATCGTTGTCCTCAGCGTGCGACTAAGATAATTTTCTACAAACTTATCGATTCCTGTGGCAATCTATTTCTAGCCAACACGGCCTAAAAATCCTACATATTGTCCCGAACTGTTCACCGTACCTTTGGAAAAGGACTCACTAAAGGCTGAGTCGATAATTTCTACACTGCTTGTTGAGCTGCTTGGATTTGTACACTTGGCATATTACCAAAAAGTCTTAGGTAAAACGTCCTCCATGGCTTGTATTCTTGAAATTCTGCGAAAAACCCAACCATAAGCAAAGTCTTCCCTATTTGACCCTAGCCGAAGTTTTTACTTATGCTCGTGCGGCTTGCTCCTTTTCCATAACTTCACGGCATGACGGAAGTGCGCACCGATATCTGAATTGCGGGCGAGAGTGTGCAGTCGATCCAGCGATCAACCTGTCGCCAGTCAACTACGCTCACCAAGTTTTGTGCGCAAAAACCGATCTTTTGAATTCACGTTAGTAGCATGTTTATAGGTATTTCAGTGATTCATTAGATCGGGCTTCGGCAGTTCGGGTTGCCTTTTAACGGGTGATCATCCAGATGTCTCCTGAACTCGCGGTAGGGGATTTCACAACATACGTCGGCAGAGAATTCCATTGGCGAGGGACTATAAGGAGGAAAAGGAGAAACGTTGATTGGTGTGCACAGTTATCGTGTTTAAATGCGCTCACTGAGCCTGTTAGAGGCGGTACTGCGCGGTCGGCTATCGGATTTTTAAAAGAATTCGCAAGCACTGACATCCTGACATCAACGCCCGTGAATTTTGTTCAGAATAGGAACTTTCGACAAAGTAGAGTCAAATGTGTGAACCTAATCCTGTAACTGCTGTCACCGCATACGCGAACAAGGCGAGAAACCAAATTCAACCGGGTCCAAATTCTGGCAAGCTATTCCGTACGTGGAGAACGTCTCGGAATCCGTCAGCCGCCTCGTATCCCTTGGGCTGGGGTATAGTCAGTTTATTTGGAGTAAACGGCAGAAGCCCTGAAAACTCGAAGAAGGTCCTTCGAAGAAAGACCTACGAAAGACTGAGACGATAATTTCTACACTGCTTGTTGAGCTGCTTAGAATTGTACATTTGGCATATTACCAAAAAGTCTTAGCAACAACGTCCTCCAGGCCTTGCATTCTTGAAATTCTCCGACAAATCCGACCGTGCGCACAGTCTTTCCTATTTGGCCCTGGGCGACGTTTTTTTCTTCTATTCGTGCGGCTTGCTCCTTTTCCATAACTTCACGGCATGACTGAATTACGCACTGACGTCCAAAATGTGGGGCTGGAGTGTGGAGTCGATCCAGCAATCAAGCTGTCGCCAGTCAACTGGGCTAACCCCCCGGCCACCGCAGACCGGCGGCGAGCGATTTCACACAGTCTCCTCGACTGTATAGACGCAGAAAATCGAGGCCAAAGTTGTAGTGGATGCCAGATTCTGGCCGTCAAGGTCAACTATCTTGAGGAGGAAATCACAAAGACGAAAGCCCAGTTGCGATGCAGTCTCGACCAAGCTAACGCTACCAATATGCCTACTGGACGAGTAACCAGAAGTAAGGCAAAAGCTCCCAGCATAATAGGCACGCCAGCACCTATTTCGACAGCCCCAGAACAAATAGCTTAAAAGCCAGATAATAACGGCCAGAAAGGAAGTCCAAAAACTGAAGACGGACGGCCACTTCCGGTGGATGCCTCCGAAGAGGCCGGAACAGAGACACTGACGGACGTTCCGTCCCTCATTTCAAATGTTGTTTGTTCAAACACCTTTGCTGATTGTCCGTAACAGTCCGCGCTTGATAGACCTAATACGAGCGGTGGAATCGACTCATCCGTCAGAGCCACATAGTCATTTTCACAGTCTTCTCTGCCAAGCGCTCCTTCCAAGTTTGTCAGCATAAGAGTCAAACAAACAGACGACGTAAGCGCATCTGGTCCACCATCACCAGCAAGTATCTCCGGATGGGGTACGCGTTCAGGAAGTCCTGTGTAGGCGTGTCGTGCCTGGCCCAACTGAATGCAATGGATACCAGAGGAAGTACGGCGTTTCATGTCCTTCTTGACTCGAGATGGCAGTTTGGCTGTCGTTACCGATGTGCTCCCCAGCGAGACGAGAGCAGACATGGTGACTTTCATGTGAATTAGTTCACAGTGAGGACAGACTTGCGCTGCATCTAACTCACTATCTCCTCCCCACGTGAACTCGGTGTCAAGACACAACCAAGAAGACTGGAGGCAGGAGATGGTTAGCCAAGTGGTGACTAGGATTTTAACCAAAAAAACCAACAACGGGTCAGAAAGAGGCGGATTACTAGGCATCCATGCACAACGCCGGTGTACCTAGCGGGAGCGAGCAGAGGATGACGCATGTCACTGGGCGAAAATGCACGCGGCCTGAACATCCAGCGGTAGCGCAAGCATATCTACTGCCAGGGAATCAGGTGTCAGAGAACTGCCAGCGCATGCCAGATGCTGGCATAGCAGACGCACACAAACCTTAAAGCCCACAAGGGTGGGACACAGCCCCGCATATAGCCTGGGCCAGCACCTTTCAAAAGCTGGGAAACCAGTCAGTCATCGACAGGGAGGCACTACTTATACAAATACACAGTCCTCGCATGCGTGAGTGTGCCAGAGTTCACGCCTATGAAAGCACCCCTTAGGGTACTCAATAAAACATGTAAGAAGGCCCCGGTTTAGCCTGATTCTCGCCGCATCTGTCCGCCACTCCACACAGGCAAATAGAACCGGACAGGCTGCGTGGAATGAGTTGAGGCATCAGACGGCAACTGTTCAAGCTACGGCGCCTAGCACATCGGGATTGTCTCAGGCTCGGATCACACGTGCAGCCGAGGAGCCACGTGACGAAGGATCTGAGAAGCACATTAATAACTTGCGTTAGAGGTGTCAACTGTGTGCTTGTGTTATGTGTTGATGGGTGATGTTTCTGGACGTTGTAAATACTCGTAAGGAGAGCTCTGACTAGCGGCGACCTACCGCATGTTTTCATGAAACCGCCCGTAGCCTAGTAGGCCCATGCGGTGAATGAATGTGCGGGGGCAGTGTGGACAGTGGAGGTGGATGCGACGAGTGTATTTCGGTGCCCCAGACACTGGTTCGCCAGTCTCTGTGCGATCGCAAGGGGGGCAGGCTGGAACCGATTCCAAATTGCTGGAGGTGGGAGTATTGATGGTGACGCTGAATGTCGTCCCCTCAGTGGGCGGAGTGCTAGATGTCGTGGTGTTGGCGGATCTCGTTGTTGTGATCGACGCACGGGTTGGGTCAGTGCAGATGATGGCGGAGCATCGACAGTCTTGTCACTGGTAACGGTGGCGGTCGTCGTCGCGGGGTTTGCGGCAGGGGTGATAGTAGGGGTTGTAGAATTCTCGGTAAATTGAGTCATGAGAGGAGGATTTGGCGTTGCCGCGTTGTTGTCGGGCCTTGCCTCCAATGCCGTCCTACGATGCCGACTAGCGCGCGCAATGTGCGTTGGCAACGCGGACATTTAGCGGGCCTAGTCAATCGATAATGCGATCACACGCTAAGTCGAGAAAAGCCAAGGGAAGCGACCACGCCAGAGCGGACTTAACTGCCAACACCGCCCAGTAAAGAACAAAGGCAGTTGGTGAAAAGTCATTTTGTGAACTCGAAAAACACCAGTTGGAGTCTCCAAGTAACCGTTTCATAAACACAAACTTAAACAAAAGTGAGTTAGTGCGAGTCAAGGGAATTCTTAACAAATATAATGACTATAAATGATGGTGTATAAACAAAAAAATATAACAGAGAGATACCACAGGCATACTGGAAACGGCTGGCTGTTGGCACTTGGGATTCCATGCGTTTGTAATTTACGAGCCTTCCTTCTGGCTTTGGTGGCGGAGGTTAGGCATGATTCCTATATGGCTGTGTCAGTCTTCACTTCTCGTCTCCGGGTTGTTTTTTTCTGGGTTAGGTTCTCCCAGATCTCTGGGTTGACATGAGATCACTTCATTGAGTTCGTCAGTGCCCTTATAGCGTCGTTTTGGCTTTCCCGGTTTACGGGCACCGGTGGCGACATCTTCGCAGAAGAGTTGTTTGGTAGGCAAGCGTCGCCCATTCTCACTAGATGGCCGCTCCCTCTCAGCAGCAGTTGCCTCAGAATGGCGTTGATTCTGGGGATTTTCGACCCGCTCCAGGACTTCCGTGTCCGGGATCCTGCTCTGCCATCTCAGCTTTAGGTTTCTATGAAGGCAGCAGAGATGGGAGAAGCTGAGTTTCTTGGCATGGCTAGAATAGACGCAGACGTTGAAGCCACGAAGAACAATCAACTTATTCTTCTTAGGCATGCAGATCTTCGTAGGACTTGAACGTTGCCTCGTCTAAGCCAGTCACTGTTGCGGCGTGGGCGCGGACTGGGGTTGAGAAATTGAATTCTCGAAGAGATAGATGCAGGATCATCGTTTGGTCATTGTTGCCCTGTGGCAGACAGCGGATTCGTCCCACGGTTTTGTATCGGATGACAAGAGGGACTCCGGCGTCTCGTCGCTCCAGCCTCAGGCGGCCGCTTCAGAAGAAGGTGTAGCTGGCACCCATCCCCTCCAGTTGGCTTTGCTAGGAGAACCGATGCCCACTGAGTGCAGCTATGTTTACCTTGTAGCGCGCCAGTTCCTGCTCCACAAAAGCCGTCCTCCACTCCGGCCGCCTGCTCCTGCGATTGTCTTAAAGAGAACTAACATTTCAGAATGCCGGAGAGGACTGACTCACCCTCGTGGCCAGTAGGGTGGGGCAGCGTAGAGGGGTAGGGGAAAGAGAGGAGTTGTCGTTTCTTGTTTTGTTGTTTCGACAGCGTGTTTTGCAAGCCACGGTGAATATGAAGAGGACGTGACCCCAACATTTGTTTAGGGGGCCATTCCTAGTTCCTTCCTCCGCCAAAAGTAAAGGGCTGCTTAGACTTCCCAGACGTCACGGGATTAAGTGAGAAAACGACCATTGGACTGGCCACCTGCGTGACTTCAGGTCGTCCTCGCCGTAGGGCTTTCGGCTGTGGAGGGAAGAGGGTAGAGAGAATGATAGGCGTAGAAAGGGCTCGAAGGAGTAGAAAGGGGCAGGACTTCCAGCCACTGCCTCAGTAGCTTGTGAAGTGCTGAAATACAAAGGTGAGCAAGCAATGACAACCAAGCACTATTCAACTTACCTGGGAACTCGATTGCCTTGTGGCCTCCTGTGGGGTTGCAGACGAAGCCTCGTCTTGTAGATGGCGAAGCGGTGACCCAGTACAGTCAGCGGTGGCGGTGGATGCACACATGAATAACCTCACCTGGTTCACCCGCTAGTAGATGAGGTTGCCGGGCATTGGTCGCTGGACAGAACCTAGATTTGGGGAGCTACAATGAGAGTTAGGTGCCAGATAATGGATGATAGGCGAAGACAGCATCTGGAAGCAAGTTAGCAACCAGCCATGACCACCACGTGGACCCACAACCAGACACCCACTACGCCCCTTTTTCACCGTTCGCTAACCATCTCCCATAACAGACTGCCTATTTTATAAGCACGAACTAGACTGCGCATTGTCTGTCTGCTTGCTCTAAAATTCACTCGAAACTTAATTTTCGCTCACTAGGAAAGTACTACTAGGGGTACGAAATAAAATAGTTAACTTGTTTATTTACCCTATCAAACAGCGGATGCGCCCTGTGCACGAATCGCTCAGGACGGCAGAATTTCTACATGATTTTCCAGAGTCCTTCGCTCTTCGACCTATCGAAGGTTTTTGTTAATTCAACGAAAGTTGTCTAGAAGTGGGTCCGCATCCCCTGCTATTTCTGTTGCAACTGTCAAGTAGCAAAGATGATGTCAGTGGTTCCGCGGTATCGTCAGAAGCCACACTGGCCTTCCGAAGAAGTAACTCTTCGAGATGGCTGCTGAGGCGGTTGAAGAGGAGGTAAGGCAAGATATTTTGAGCGATGTTGGGCAGTAAGGTGTCTCTGTAGCTATAACAGAGTTAGCGGTTCCCTTTCGGCTTCTAGAGATGGACTACTGCCGCGTCCTTAAAATCCTTAGGAATTTATCCTTTGCATCACATCTTCTGAAACAACGTTGCATGTTTGACCATCAGTCGGAGCCGGCGAGTTTGTAGCTTTCACCCGGGACCGCATCAGGGCCTGGCATGTTCCCAACGGAGAGTTCATGCAGCGCACGGATGGTTTCTGGGAGAGATGGCGGCCGATCCAGACCGTCGTTTTTTCCATTCGGGGTATCTGATCGATGGCGGCGTTGGAGGCTGTGGAGGGGCGTTCGGGGAAAATTTCGAAGTGCTCAGCTCAGCGTTATGTAATTCGCGGTTTCTCCGTCAGAATTGATGAGCCGTCGGAGCTAAGAAACGACACGATTTCTCTAGTTGCGAGGCCGCAGACCCCCTTAATTGATACAAAACAGTCCGGTTTTTGTTAAGGTCTGCATGCCCCTGGATTTCCTTGGCCTTGCTATTAGTCGCGGCTATCCTGCATCTTCAACAGTCTTTGCTGCTCAAAGCAACAACCTTTGAGGAAAGTTTCTTTTCTTGCGTCGGTCGAGCGGGTCATGTAGGTCCGGCAAACAGGTTGCTGATATCCGTGTCTTTGTTGTCGGACCAGTCCTTGCATGGCAGCGACAAAATTCGACACCTGGCCAGTCCAGCAGTGACGCACTGCGATAGGTAAGTGGCGGCCTGGAAATTACATCCTGTAAATAAATCGCCATCTGCGCAGCTCACTACCCTTATATGACTCCATCTCTGATGATGGATTCCAGCGAGAGTCCGAAACGTCAGGCTAGTAAGGCTCTTTTTCCAGGAATTGTGTCTCTCTCTCCGATGGCGGACGTCCCCAACGGTTAAATCCTACGAAAAATAATATACATCCACCTTATTTGAATGTCTGGACAAAAAATAATAATAATAAGTTTTTTATTCAATACCCGTGGGGGTCCTAGCATAGCAAGAAAGAATAACTTTTATACGAATTTTAGGGTTTAAGACGAGGTATACAGAATTATTAGTGTAATTAATTCATGGTTTTTGAATAATTAGCATGTTACGAAGAATGCTAAGCGAGCAGTAAAAAACACCTTGCATAAATTAAATGAGTATGATCGGATTAGAACTATAGGAGAAAAAACTCACGCTCCCTAGTTTATAAAGAGCAGGCAGGACCGGACTGAATATGGCATTGTATGACAGATTTCATGGAGGGGTAAGTAGGCGGGTCGGGCAGGACTGACCTGTATGTAGACTTGAGCAAAAAGCTTGAGTCGGGAATTACCATGGGAGAATACATATGCCAGATGAGGCCATTCATGTCAAAGTGGCCAATTTAAAACCAGTTTTGAGGCGATAGGAACCTGGATGCGGTCGGTTACATTCATCCGAGTCCATCCGAGGATGAGGCAAGGGAGATACAACCAAACTACTATTATATGGCGAATACAGAAGGTTTCGCCAAGAGCGGCGATGGAGCGCATTCTGTGAGGACACGATGCATGAAGTGAAAAATTTGAAAAATTAGCATTTCTGGTGAGATATCCTAGGGAACGATACTACTCACAAAGAAAGGAAAGGTGAGCAGATACGGAAATTTAATGGTGGCATATTAAATTCCCGGTGGCTCTTTCTCAGTGTCATAGAGAAAGTTGTCTGGAAAGGATGAGGAAAATAAAAGTTGAATCGCATCAGTAATGAGATAAAGGCGTAGCCTTCTCTTAAAGGTGTGTAGATTATCTGAGGATCTTGTATTTATTTGAAAGCTATTCTAGAGGAGAGTATATCTGGGGGCGAAAAACAGAGAATGCTTAGAGTTGGAGGACGCTGACGGAGGTATAATCAAGGAAGAGTTAGGAAGTTTGTATGGGCGACTACTAGGGGTAAGGCTGAAATCCGAGGAAGATTTGAACTATTATAAATGAGAAAGAGAAGACAGAATCCTGCTTCTAGTCTTCAAACCCATAAAAATTTTAGGTAAATTAGCTGGCATCTATCTCACTTCCACTTATCTTTTCAAAAACGTTCTGCGCGCGTTAACCTTGGAGAGAGCAAGTAAGTCAGCATGGATTTGCTGCAGGCAATGAAGGCTCGTAGATTTTTTGAAAGAATATGCACATTTAAGATCATCGGAATGAATAAATGATTGAGAATGTTTAACTGCTGCTGAAATATCATTTATGTAATGCAGGAACAAAAGAGGACCTAAAACGGTGCCTTGTAGGACATCGCTTATAATAGGGTTTTCACTGAAAAGTGCAGATCCCACTAAAGACTTTCTTAGGTATGACCTAATAAAGTCTATTAGTGGACTGCGAATGCCCATTGTTTCCAATTTAATCAAAATTTTTGTGGGGGACTTTATCAAAGGCATCACTAGGATCAAAATAAAGAACAACAACAGATAGATGGTCATTACGAAGAGAAGCAAGTAGATTGAGAGAGGACAGGTGACATGTTTCACAAGAGCGATCTGGTAAAAAACCATTGTGGGTAGGGCTTATAACTTGATTGGCTATGCAAAATTCGGTAATTTTTACGGCGATAATTTTTTCAAAGATTTTGGCGAGAGAGGGTGTTTTATGGACACCTCGATAGTTCTGAACCTCTGAACGACAGTCAGACTTAAAAACTGGAATAATAATAGAAGTTTTCCAATATTCAGGGAAGAAGCCATTTACGAGAAATACTGAAAAGATTTTGCTAAGCAGAGGAGGAAAATCTTTTAGATGTTTTGTAAAAGAGTTTTTGATATTGTCCATGCCAACTGAGTGAGAGTTAGGAAGATGGCTTATCAGTTTTTGAATACATTCGGGAGAAAAATTAATGATGCTAAGAGAAGCATCAGATAAAGGAGGAATTAAAGTGATCGGATCAGTTTTGATGATGAAATGTTTGGCAAAGAACGAATTTAACTTTTCTGCTTTTCCTGACTCCTCTCTAATGAAGGTCAGACAATTTAGTCAATCGTTCACAAGCATCAAGAACAGAGCGGGGTCCAAAACACTCCCCTGCGGAACCCCGCTCTGAACGCTTTCGCAATTTGATTTGGCGTCATCACTGCTTACACGCTGACGTTGACTTTTGTGGAAATCAGACAACCGCTTAAATATGTTGCTGGGAATTTTGGGATGCCTAAACTCTTTTTTCGAATTGAAGACGCCGCAGCTTTTGACTTACATAGCTCATTTTTATGCCAGATTCTTCAGTTCATAGCAGAAGTATGCCTACTCTCATATTGCTGACGCAATTTATCTCCCTTGCTTCCGTATATCGGCATCTTGCTATCATCTTCAAAGCTTGAGTTTAGCCTAATAATTTCTTCCATTT